AAAGTACATATTTATAATCAATATTACATTTAGAATAATTAAACAACAGGGGGGGGGGCAGAGACACACAAGAAAGTCAGGAGTTGGCCGCGAGCAAAAAAAAAAAAAGGTTGACAACCACTGCTCTAAGAGACTCCTGAAGTCGGAGTGCCAGCGGCTTCTCTCGTCCGAGCCAACCAAAATTCAACAACATTAAAATTCTGTTCACTCAAAATCCTAAAGTCGGCAAATTCATACTGGCCGATAACCTTTCGTGCGAAAGTATACTTATATTTTAAAATAAAATTAATTAAATTAATTTAATTCGGCTAATTTTACATTAGTATTAAGTAATTATGTTAATAGAAGAAAATTCATATTCGTTTTTTAATAATTCAAGGCTATTAGAATTTGGATAATCTTTAACTTATTAACTAAAAAAATAAATAAATGTTGGTACTCACATTAATGAGATGGGTGAGCCTGCCGATTCTTGCACAGTTGTATATTTGGATGCAGCTGGTGAGCTTAAGTCGGAGATCGTCACATACACTGAGACGATTTCGGTATTTGTTTTTATTTGAGTTAGTGATGAAAACCCTTTCTCACACAGATACCTAGAAGTGAAAGGCGACTGCCATGTGTAATTTCCAAACTCTGAGATTTTCAGCTATAGTGTGATACGCAATTCATTTGAATTTTATTTATTTTTTATTTTTTGAAGGACCACCAGGGCACACCTCGAGGACCACTTGTGATCCATGGACCATAGTTTGAGAAACGCTCACCTAACGTATTTCAATTAACAAGACTAATAATAAATTTCTAACAAATTAAATATAAAATCGACCTTTGTTAAATGAAATCATATTCGTTAATAACCCAGGGCACAACAATACAGAGTTCAGTTGTGAACTGTTGGTTCACAATGAACTGATAACGCTATGAAGGAAGTTGTCGTGTACTGCATTTACCTATTAGTCCAGCATTCTCGTGGACAGACCGGAGAGGAATTACACAAACAACACTCCGGAAAGTCCGTCTACAAGCCGAGACTCGAACCAGAACTCCAGACACGAACGGTTACGCCCTAAATACCGCTGTCACTCATCCTCCAAATTTCATCACTAAAAATTTAATAGGTTTTGTTTTCAACATACTGTAACGTGAAGACTATTGATGATAGTGTTAAAGAGATTTGTGAGTAGGGTTTTTTGTAGTTACGGTTTGTAGGTTAAATAAACCAATTAACAATCTGATCGGCATCTTCAGTAGCAAAACACGTTACAATACTCTTGCTTAAATATTCACAAATTGGAGAGAATTCCAAAGATACTTACAATTTTAGTTTCAAACTGCATTGGGCTTCTGCGTACCGACCTCCCACTTCCCACTGCAACTACGTACCGACGTCCCACTTACCACCGCAACTCTACGAATGTTCGCTCTGCAGATGAAGTTCGTTGTATAGACTCGCATTCATGTTGACAGTGCACGACACCGGGAAACAGTATTGCCAACCTGTACAAGGAATAAATCCTTCCAGCAAATTCGATGGGCGTGGCACTGGGGTACGCCATTAAAAGTTCCATAGTTACAATTCTTAGAACTGTCACATCAATAACAGCTATACATCGCTTTTAAATACATGAGTCATATTATGTCTCAGTTACCTTAATGCAGGAATATCCACATATGTAGCGTCCTGTGTAAAGTTGCCTACACAAGCTTGAACAGTCACCTCACTGCCGAAACATATGCAAACCTGATTTATCTCACTGACTTAAAGTAACTGTATTTCTGAAGGCTAGATATTTATTTCAATACGAAATGAGAAGCAGATTGTTCTAGAAAATGTGGGATCCTCAACATCTCACTACCCTATGGGCTATTACAATTTCTTTGTGGGAGCTCGCTTTTGGCCAGTGATTGGGTAAAGTTGGCCCCAGTTGTGAAGGGTAAAGGTGGATGCAGCTGCTCACTGGTGAATCGCTGCTAGCTATTCTCAAGTTTAGTCCTTGGCGATGTACTCTCACCTTTGTAGTTATTGGGTGCCACCCCAGTTGGGGAACATGAAACACCTGGCTTATGTTCTTGGAGCTTGAATCACGCATTACAAACACAAAGGGCAGCCCCCAGGACTATAAATTTGCTATAACATCACGCCACAGTGCATCACCGGCTACTTACTGTATGCCTTGTAGCGTAATATATGCGTAATGATGTACGCTATTACCTCAAATTCTTATTTTAAGTAGGTAAATTACGGTGGTTATATAAAAAAATTATGTGTGTACATGAATTAGGCGAAGTGTATTACTAAAAGGAGTAATCGGTTACAATCTCCCAAGTAAATTTTGTTTCAGTAATGAGACATTTACTTCATAATCGCCTTAATATGAATAGTTGTACATCCTTACACTTATTAAACAAAAATATTATGAGTAGTAGAGTTCAACAATAGGAAAAATTCTTGTAAATTAAAATTCCTTCTCATGGTAAAGACGATACATATTAAGTTTGATAATAGGAAACCTTTTGCAAAACTGAGTTTCTCTTGACCCATTAAGCCGGGTCCAGACTTGTTGCGTATCCCCGTATCGTATCTCCGTATCGTTATCAGTGTGGACGGTATCCCGTATCATCCATCCGTTGGAAAATGATACACAACGGGCTGTTCGCTCGCTTGGCGGTCTTTTCCCGTCGCATCAAAGGGACGACTCGGGTTGCAGTGGTGCCAGTCTGGACGTCTAGGCGGCTGCATCGCGCTTTGCTTATCAGCTCCAGACAGTTGGAGTGAAGTCATCACCAGTGTGCGTTCTTCCGTTTGTGATTCTCTGTTTATATACTCTGAATGGAGTGGAGTAAGGAGAGCATAGTATATTTAATTGATGAATATAAAAAGAGGGATACGCAACAAGTCTGGACGCAAAATTTTGTCGCGTTGCGTCGGACGATACTCAACAAGTCTGGACCCGGCTAGTCACAAAAATGTTTACCCGTTTCACTTTATTAAGTGATAATTTGAAACATTGGGTCACAGTTCTTCACCCTTTCATTTTCATTATTTAGTTTACAATTTGCATTTTTATATGTTGGTTATACATGTTAACTATGTTGGCCTATAGTTATGTACATATAGCTTCACAACATTACTCCTGTAGCCGTGAGTAGGTTACCTATGTATAGGTTAGCTAATTCTTCTCTTTCACTTTTATTTCACAAAATGAAAATATCGTGTATTATGTAAGTTCCATCCACTCAAAGCTTTGCAACTATATTTTACATTTAAAGTTCTATATAACAAAGTTTAAAAAAAAAATCTAAATCCTGTCTTTCGTATATACGAAAGTGAACTAGAATGTTATCCAAGTAGAAAAAACATAAGTCTCAGTATTATTTCCCAAATTAGCTTAAAAGCTTTTGCAACTGCAAATAAAATTCTCAAAATGTATAGTTAGCCCCATCAAATCTTCTGTAACGGTTCTTGCAGGGGAGGTGTCCATTGACAATCAGCGACGGTATACCAATTAACTCTGCGAGCATCTACTGAAATTCTAAGCTTCTTGACATTTTGTTGTACAACTGCCGCTAAAGGGTTAAAAAAAAGTTTCCAAATTCCAAAAATATCGCCATTTATCATCTAATCTATCTGTGATGTAACAGCTGGCTTAAGGCGAAAGGAATTGGTCGACTATATCCCCCTACAGGGCGGTCGGTTTCCGCTTGAAATTTATAACTAAACAGCTTACATATGCCCTGGTCGGGAGGTCATATTATCTATGTAATATGTAATTATCACTTGGAAAAGTTCACTCTTCTTCAATGCGTCAATATTCGAATTCCTAACGACCAGATGAGTCAGATCAGCTTCTTGTAACGACCTTGGATCCGGTACATGTTGTGGGTAGGAATCGGGAAAATAACGGGTTTTCCTTTAGAAAATTTGTCTCTTTTGCAAAGCGGCGACATCATCATTACTATAGCCACACCCTGGTATGTGTTCTCAAGTAAACACACGTAAATCATCGTCGCTCGCAACGGAAAAATTCAAACTATACTCATCCTTCGCGCCGGGAGGGGGAATGCTGAGTAGCCGCCCTGGGCTTACTCTCACGTGGATGGACGTCTCATCATATCCATCCTCGCAACTTGGAGGGGATATTACGTTGTGAACTTTTCGTGGGATTCGCGTCCCAACTTACGCGACCTTTATCAGCTGTGGAAAAACTATAAACACTCCTTCAAGTTTGCATTCACCTATAGCGAATTCGATCATGGCTTATTTTCTAACTTTGTTAGAACGCTTACCAAAAGCTGTTATCAAAACTACTACTTCAAGAGTTAATGAAAAAAACGTCGATACCTATCTTTATATAAAACCCCTTCAGAAAACAAATTTACTTCATTTCCCTTATCAAGAATAGCTATGGCTTTACATTTATCACTGTACGTAATTTCTACCGTGGGCTCCTAACAAATTTATCTTCGTCCACGTATACCGCAATTAGTTCCTTTGTACAGGATACTTCCAAACGGTCATTTAATTCAGTTTCTTCGCCTGAATTCCTAGAATTTCGCTGGAAAGAGTAGGACCTGAGACTTTGTAATCTTCAGAACTATGAACATTCGGCATGTACTATTTCTAAGCTTAGTTTTCTAATTTGTACAATCGTCAACTTCTACTAGGATCACTTGTCCTATTTGTTTCAGAACTATGTTGCGAAAAGTCATTGCCACTTTGTGGGTATCCTTTACCACAAACCTTTGTTTTTCGCTTGTCGAAAACGATTTTAGGTCGTGGTCGACTTGATTTTCCAACAATGATATTACGTTCCACCGTCAGACATCTGAGGTACATTCTTGAGTTTTGAACTCCATTCAGTCTACGTCTTTTACTTCTGTTGCCTGATTTTTTTACAAATTTATCAGTTGAAAGTGATGAATTATCAAAACTGTTCAATTCAGCAACGGCAAGTTTTTAATGCTAGTCTATTTTCTCGTGCAAATTTTTGTTAGATCCTATGCTTGTTGAAGTACATTCATATTTT